GACGTCGATAATACCGGACGCTTATCTTGACGGATCGGACGGCTGGAAAGTGCTGGTGACAATTATCAAAAGGGTAGTACAAAGGCAAACAGGCGGAGGGTAGTTTTCGCATGAATCCCGATCTATGAGCTTGAGAGTTCTGGAGGTTGAGCCGGTCCGCATCAGCATGGGCAGTCACGGAGGCATAAAAGTGTGGTGCTACACCTTTTTCTTGTGGACGGGGGACTTTGATTTAGCCCTCTACGTAGAGGAGGGGTCGAATCAAAGGGAGGATTTTCTACGTAACTGGGAAGAAGCAGTTGGTCAGTCGCGGTTGGAAAGGGAGCTATTGGGAAGTTACTGAATCAGATACTTCTACGCGCTAGGCTATCGAACTTTCGCATGAGGCTCGAATCCGGCGCCCGTTATACCTGACGCCTATCTGGACGGATCCGACGATTGGAGGGTATTGGTGGCGATCATCGAGGAGGTGGTTCAGAGGCAGGCAGACGAAAAAAAAAGGTCGGGTATGGTTAAAATCATAGAGGGAACGGATAACGACAAGGTTAAGAACGAAACGGCGGATATCGACAAGGAGTGGGAGAGTTTCAGTGTCCCCTTGGACTGTCGCACCGAGAGGTACTTGGCCTGGCACGAGAAGGGTGTTGAACTTGAGAAAGGGGTGTTTCTTTGGGCTCGGTTTGCTGTAGGAATTTGGGAGGGAGATCGTTGGACCAGAAACAGACCCGGGAACGGTAGGAGAGCGCTACGAGATGAAGTTCGTGCCGAGGGAACCATTTACTTCAGTCAAGAGGCTTGGGTAGATTACGTCGTTCATTGGGCTCTAGGGTGGCTTCAGACAGACCATTGTGAAGTCCGCGCCAAACCGATTTTGAGACGAATTTTCGAGCAAACGCCCCTTCAGCACCGGTTTCCGATCCGCTTACGAGTGACTTGTGCTCAAGAGGGGGAATACTCGCGGGTTACAGGTTGTGTCCGGGCCATTTTTCCATCTTACGTTTTCAGGAGGGTCTGTAAGGAAGGGGGCGCCTACGAAAATGTGGTAAGGTTTATAGAGCGGGAGACCAAGAGGGGGTTGTCCTTTAGATCCCTTCATTGGTACTTCACGTACTGTGTGGACAACCGGGTGCCATACGGGGCCAGGGCTGACCGGATCAGGGAAAGGACCGTCGTGGAATCTGAGAGGGATCGTGAAGGGGGAAGGGATTACAAATATCAGAGAGTGTTAGGGGTACGGCAGAGCGTGTTCTAGGATGAATGGTCTTCTTTGATAAAGATCTCGGGAGCTTCGTAAAGTCAGGACTAGAGGGGCAAAGGATCCGTGTCTTGGTTCCAGGGAACGGAGAAGTCACGGACTGGAGGAGATTAGAGGGCGAGAGGTCACCACAGGGGGTGATTTTGTGTGGATAGAGTCGGTGGAAGAGCGAAGGAGAGGGAAGGTTGTGGAGAGGGAGAAATTATATCTAAGAGTCACTTCCGTAATCTTCGTTGAACCTGCCTCGTGGTCTAAGATTGTAGTGCCCCTGGTCTTAGGCCAAGGGGGTGGGTTGGACCTGCTGATAAAAGAAACTAAGGAAGTTAGGAAAAGGCGGATAGATCGGAACTTGCGAGGAGTTGGGGTTGTCGTCGAGGAGAGGGAGAGGTTCGCCCGAGGGGGTGAGACGCCACGAGCCGGCTACCCTGTGACCATAAAAGTGTCGAGCTTTGTGATCCTAATAGAAAACGAGGAAAGGGTATTAAGGATTTTAAAAAGAGGCAGGAGGATAGGGCTGCCGTTCGGAGCATTGTGGTTACTCTACACTCATTGTGTTAACCACGAGATTCCTTCTCGACGCAAACTTTAAGGAATTTATAGGCGGCTAGGGGCCCTTGAAAAGACCCTTTCACTCACCCCAAAGGGGTATCACGAATGGGTATTTAAGCTGCCATGGTAAATGGTGAAATTTGTTCTTAGTAACGGAGGTACTGTAAAGTCGGTGGAGGCCGGCGGAAGGGAGGTCTTGATTCTGGGTGATCCGCACGTGATCCCCTATTGGATGAGTGTTGAGAAGGGGGGAGTGATCAAAGAAGGCGCTTACGTGTGAGTTAGGGCGCGTAGGTTGACGTGGAAGGAAGGAGTACGAAGGGGCGGTCCGCCACATATCGGCAGGTTCCTCGAGATATATACAACCGTCTTCCTAAACGACGATTCGTAGACCAAGGTCTGGAGAGGGTTGGTCACTGGCCGGGAGGTCCACACGAGCTACCAGGAATCCGCTAGGAAGGTGGCTAACGACTTGATCGTAAGAGATTACGAAGAAGGGACCTTCGAATCGTGGACACTGGTGTCGTTCGCGGAACCAGAGGAAGTCCCCCGCGCCTCGAAGGTACTCCACGTGGACTTGCCCGACTTTTTGACACGAACTCTCCTGCGAAATTCCGAAGAGAAGGTGGTAGAGGTGCTTCGGTCTGCCCATCGGTCAGGGGTCCGGGCTCTGGGTTTGTTCTGGCTTTACACTTGGTGTGTTGACTCAGGGGTATCAGGAGAAAGAGAATTGGTGGGGATTTTGGAGCAGTTGAGGGATTTCGAGGGGGTAAGGGCGCACATCGCCGACGTCCCCTACGCTCACATCTTTGGGGAAGAGCAAGTCGCCAACCGCAGGGGGTACGAGCCTTCTTAGGAGGACATGATAAAAAGGATCCGTGGGACGCGTTGGTCCTCTATAAACCCTGTAGAAGAGAAAGGCGAAGTCTGGCGGATCACCCTCCCAAAATCAGGCATGGCCGTTGTCCCTCAAGAGCAGTGGGTTCAAAGGGAAGAAGCTCGTACATACTATGGCAAGGCATTCGTCCATCTGACCGTGAATCGCGGAGGTGAACTCCTGATCGAGGGAGCGAAGGTCTTCCTCTCAAAAGAAGGCCTCGTCGAAGCGGTTTTGAGCTTAAAGTTGGGAGAGGACCCTCTTTGGCACGAGCAAGCTGTGAAAACCAGATTGGAAGAGCTGGTTAACGAGGTAGAGCTACCAACGAGGTGTCAAATCGCGTACCGGGTGACTTATGCTGGGCTTGGGGAAGTCCCGTTTTTTGCCACCAGCCATGCCGTAGAGGTACCCAGGTTCATCTTCAGCTCTATCCCACTGAGATCGCTAAGAAGGCAGTAGAAAGAAGGTTAGAAATCCTGAGTCAGTTCCGCTTTACTGATTCAGACTTGCACGCTCTCCTAACGTGGTGTATCTTAAACCCTAACCACAACGACTAGTCCGGACTGAATAATTTGGGCTACTTGTTTGAGGGTTGGGGCCGGACTCAACGATCTCGTGGAGATACCTTGGACGGATCTGCCTCGACCCTCCAGACCTCATACGTATTGCTATTGCTTGCAGACGAAGGGGCATTAGGCATGAGTGAGCCTAGCGATCGTGAACTAGCAAGCCTGGATAGAGTGAGAGTGGAGCTTTATAGGATCCTAACCCTGTGTTGGGAGGAACAAAGAAGGGCTAGGCCTGGTTCCTTGGTTAGGATTAAGGCCCTCGAGGCAGCCGCCGTCCGGGTCTTCGACGAGCAAAAGGAAGAGTTGCTCTCAGGGGGGAAACAGGTATGAGAGCTTGCTTTTCGTCAAGATCGATGAGTTGGGAGCTTGAGACTCGCAACGACGGACCGGAAGTGGAGATAGAGGGAGAGGCGGAGTTAGCGGTAGGACTTCAGGAAGGAGCGGCCTCTAGAGCAAGGAAGGAATTCCTTGTAGAACTCCGGAGGCTTGCTCTGTGGAAGAGGAGGTTGTGGACGACTTTAGCAAAGTTTTCGATCGCCATAGGGGAGTTAGGAGGGACTCGTTTCTCAAGAGAGTGGAGGGAACCGCTATTGGAGGTTGAGAGAAGGTTCGAGGAAGACGCGAGAAGCTTAGGTGTACCGCTTGAAGCAAGATTACACTTCGTAGAGGCTCGATTTTGGGATAGGTCGGTTGAATACGAAACGGCGCTGCAACTGGTGCTAAGTAAGGGAAGTGTCGACACTCGGGAGAGGTGTGAAGTTTCCTTGGTTGTGACGACCGAGAGGTTGGACGAGGTGCGGTAAAATTGTCGATGATTAGGTACGAGCCTGGAGACCCTGTCGGGATCGTGGAACAGGCTTGGAAATCGAAAAGAAGGTACGGGGTAACTCTCCCAAGGGTCAATACTGGAGGAACGACGACCGTAGAATTCTTTGAAATATACGACCAAGAATCCGTGATTCGTTTCTCGGTGGTCTCCAGAGGAAGCCTCAGTACACGGCAAGCGGAGATTTTTTTATCGGAGGACGATAGGCAACCCTTTACAACCGAACTAGCAGAAGGGAAGGACCCTTTATGGCTTGCAAAGAGGGCGTTGAACCGTCTTAAAAGGTTGATAGGAGCTTCCTCGCAAGAGCGTGTGGTAGACTGGGTCGAATACAAGGGGCGGGAAAAGGTTCCTCGGGCGGTACAAGGTCGAACCTGGGAAGTCTCATCGTAGGTTTATCGCTTGCTCTACCCTGACGACTCAGCGGTAAGGAAAGTTTTGAGTCGGGGGTGGGTAATCGAGAAATTCCCATTGAGAGAGGATGGAGGGCACGAGCTGTTCACCCTGTGTTGGGAGTCTCTGAGTGAGACAGACTTCGAATGGTGGGCGCGAGTGGGGAAATTCATTAAGCCCTTATTTCGAGGACAAGCGGGCGAGGTAGATAGAGAATTGATAAGACATTGTTCTCAGGAGGGGATTGAAAACGTCTCTGACCTGGAAATCGCACGTTTAGCACTAGCAGCCTATGATGAAAAATTGGTGCGGGACTCGTGGTGGACCGTGATGAGCGAAGACTCAGTAGAGGGTAAAGAGGGAGGCACGACCAGTGAGGAGGAAGAGAGCTGGGGAGAAAACAGCAGTAGCAAAGGAAGTACGGATACTAGCGAGGAAAGTGAATAAGAGGAGATCAGGCGGATGGAGAGTGAGGTCGAACCCATACACTCACAAGCCCCGGATCGACGGAAGTTATTAGAGGAACGGAGCTGGGGACAAAATTGAGTAAGGAGGCAGGAGGAATGGCTGATACAGTGAGCGTTGGAGATAGGGATGAGGGGAGTACAGAGCGTCCCCTAGGGGAGATGGACGCTCCCACTAGGCAAAAGGTGGATACGGAGGTACATTTGCAAAAGGACCTGGAATCGCGAGTTCCGATGAGAGATAGGATAGCGGAAGCCTTGAGGGGCATTCCGGTCGAGACTCGATGGGCCGATCAGGTGGGTGCGGAAGAGAGAGGAAGGGGAGGTCCACCGATGGCGCGAGATAGAGCAAGCGATTGGGGACCTCGGCGAGATGAGGAAGGAGCAATCCGGCATAGAGAAGTACTCGGGGGGCGAACAGCTGAAGATGTCGGAGGCGCGCACCGGTGGGGTGTTCGAGAAGCCGAAACAGCTTGGGCTTCTGGGGATGTGACTGGTAGGAACGCAGATCTGACAGGCAGGGTTTGGCGAGATATGGGGCCTACAAGATGGAATGGGCAGAAGAGGAGAGATACCCCCGGGAAGAAGGTCCTTGGGGGCGACTTCGGAGTCGGCCTCGCATGGAAGACTTGGACCCGGCTTGGTACAAGCCCTATGACTCTGTCATAGACGGGTCAGCTGAAGGGCCTTATTTCCGACGCTACGATGACAGGCGCGTTCCCTACTATGATGTAAACTTAGGAGTGGAGGCCCTTTACTTCACTGGGAGAGGCGTGACTGGGTTCGTGGAAAAGTGGGAAAGTTACGCCTTCTGTAAAAATTATCCGAGAAAGAATGGGTAGACCACTTCATCCAACACTCTGACCCAGAACTAGACCAAGCCATTAGAGCAATCTACCCTCCCGACGGAAGATGGAGGACTTTCAAAGCAAGCCTGTTAAGGACCTTTGCATGCGATGATCTGATCCCGACAATTGAGAATCTGTGACAAGTGACCCGCGGGGAACAAGAAAATCTAGTGGTTTTCACCAAGAGGTTTAAAAGACTCTCTTAGACTCTAGTGGATAGGGGGATGCTATCAGAAGTAGATAGGCGTGTGATGTTTATGGTGCACCTTCCTGAAGAGAAAAGGAAAGAGGTCTTTGAGAAGGCCCTCAGGGACTCAACGTGTTTTGAGAAAGTTGTCGAGGTAGTCTTTACCGGAGGAGGGATGGACGTGAGAGAATACATGAAGTAAAGTTTGGATCAGGCCCTGAAACAAAGGCGAGGTCCGAGAAACGACGCTCCATGAGGGAACGATCGGTCCTCTCAGGGTTTGCTGGGACAGTGTTGGGGCGGAGGCCAGGGAAACTGGAGACACGAGTCTGGAGGTGGGAATCAAGGAGCTTGGAGAAGTGATCGAGATAGCGGGATCAATAGGGGGTCCGATTGGGGGAGCTCCCACTGGAAGGATGAGAGGGACGACCGTTGGGGTAACCCTCCTCAAAATAGGCCCCCGGGTTCAAGACCGGAAGAGCAACCGGCAAGGGTTCCTCCTCTACCTGGGGCTGGACCGGCGAGCAGCTCGGGACCTTCTGCCGGGACTCGTCCTCCCAACCCTACCCCCCGGAGTGGCTGTGTCTATTGCAACGACGAGAACCACATCAAACGCGAGTGCCCGCACCTCACAGAGGCGCTAAGACTAGGGGTTGTAAAGTTGAATGAAAATAAGTGGGTGGTGTGGGCTGATGACGGGGAGCCCGTTTTGTTCTACCCTTCTATGAAGGTGAATGTGGACAAGCGGATAGCCCTGCAAGAAGAAAAGCTGAAAAGGAGACCTGAGACTAGCGGAACAGCGGGGACATCTGGGGTTCAGATGGCGGAACCCGCCCCAACCCAAGGAATTTCGATCCGCGAACCCCAAGTCTCCAGCATTAAGTTCGTAGAGACTTTCCTCGAAGAGGTCGAGGCCGATCAGTGCTTAAGGGTGCGGACTCAAGCCCGGGCCAGTTCTTCTGAAGAAAAAGGGCCTGCTCTCGAGAAAAGCGGTACGGACGGGGACCAGCCAATGACGGATGCGAAGATCGAAGAGAAAAAGGAGGCGGAAGGAAAAGGGGAAGGGGAACCCACCTCACCTCGAAAGAGGGGGCCAAAAAAGGTCGAGATGAAATGTACCTTAGACGAGATAGATACAGTGGTTTCTCTCAGGCGGACTCTGATGCAGCCCATGCAATGCACGCTACTCAAGTACCTCGTGGCCAGTAAGAATGCGAGAGATGAACTTTTGAGTATCACCAAAAAAGTGAGAATTTCAATGGGTCAAGGGTCAACAGCCTCGGGTAATGTGGTAGCCAAGGAAGGTGCTCAGTCCGAGACGACGCAGTCCTCAAGCATAACTATGGAAACTCTGTCGGCAAATTGCTTCTCGAAAGAAGAAATAACGAGGTTCTATGTGTTGGGTAGTGGTCAGCTAAAAGTCGCAGTTAACGGGCGAGATATGAGGGCATTCGTGGATAATGGGTATGAATCGAATGTCTGTCGGAGCTCGATTGCTAGAGAATTGGGACTAGAAATAGATAAGGAAATCGCCATGTCCATGGTCGTGGCAGACAACAAGTTGCAGTCGGCCGAAGGGGTTTGCCATAAGCCGGTAATCGAGGTCGCGGGGGTAGAAGCTATTGTGCCAATCTTTTCCGTGAAGGAATGCTCGTCGGAACTAATACTTGGGCGGACTTGGCTAAGTGCGGTGCACGCGACTACGGTTGATCTCCCCGATGGGAGTCAGACACTCTCGATTCAGCCCCCGGACGGAGTGCGTGTGGTCCTCCGGACTGTAGATGCTCAAGATGAGCGTAACCGCACTAACATCCCGAAGAAAGGAGGTGGTAGGTCTAGAATGTGCCAAGTCCGCCTAGACGAGACCCCTTTTTCCGGGAAAATGTTTCTGGAAGACAAAATAGAGGTTGAGGAGATCGGAGATAGGATTGTGATCAATGGAGTAGGATACGGGAAGGAATCCGAGGAGGAGGAGTTTGAAGGTTGTGTAAAGCTGTCTTTTTGGGGGGAATCCCTCTAGCCGGCGGAGGTAGGAAACATAAAACCGTGGCGGAGAACTAGGTCATTGTAGGAATCCCTCCTAAAGCACTCTCAGTTTTTTTGAACTGGCTTCTTACTAGATGGCTGTCCTTTCTTTCCTTTCTTCCCGGTCATTATGGGAACTAGGTCAAGATCTCTGAAGATGAACTTACGAAGTCTTGACCCTGATACCATGTCATGAACTCTTGAGCCATCCAACTCTGAAATCTCATAGACTTTGCTCTCTGCCTCATCTGTAATCCTGTAAGGACCAAGCCACCTAGGCTCCAACCGTTTAGTCCACTGAGTCTTTAAAGAACTGTCGAATAGAAGAACAACGTCACTAACCTTCAATTTCTCTTTCCTTACGTATCTCTTCTTGTTCCATTTTTCTTGATCTGACAGCCTGCTGGTTGTCATTCTCTCTGCAACATCCATTACTGTCTGGTCAACCTCTGATATTTGTCTCATTCTGATTTGGAGGAGCTATGAAATAAAATAGTCTCTGTCACTCTCTTGACTTCACAATGTTTTGACAATGTTCTCAATAGGCAAGGTAGCATATCGACCATACCACAGGGTAAATGGAGCATAACCAGTAGTCCTCTTAACAGTAATGTTGTCAGCATAGACAGCAACTCTTAGTACTTTTGACCAGTTACTGAGATTTCCTTCACACCACTTGGTCAATGAATCTTTCAGAGTCAAGGTGAGTATCTCCGCCTATATCTGCGCCATGGTGGCCTGCAAGGTAGCCACTCACTGGGTGTGTAGGGTTGGAGGTGGAGGAGTCGGAGAGGGTATTCTAGTGGGGGGGGAGTGACGAATTGTAGGGTGCCCGGAGGTGGGAGTGAGGAGACAGGGGAAGGAGGATGAACTCCGAGCCGTAATGTTGTGACCGGTGCGGAAAGCTGGTAAACAACATTGGGATGGGTAGATAATATTGTATGGCCAGATACTAGTATCTGGGTAGCAGCGCCTACTAGAATGGCCGAAGCAGCTGGGGCGGCAGAGGCCTCAACAGACGGGGTGGTCTGAGCGGCAACAACGCTCACCACTGTGGAGGAGGAGTGTTGGGCCTAATCCGCGGGGGAGAAGGAACCACCACACCTCTGTATCTAAAGTCATGGGGAACCGAACTGGGAGCCAGTAGGGGATGGAGTGTGGGAGCGGTGGGGAGAATGATGAGGAGAACCGTTAAGGCGGTGAACGTCAAGGGCGAGCACATTAAGTTGTGTTTGCATGGGTACAAGATCATCGAGTCGCGCTTGCATAGGTGCAAAGGAGGGCCGCAAGAACGATCTCAAGGTTTGTAGGGGCCTGACCGAGGACCGTTGGCTGAAAGGGAGTCTGGGAGTTGGATGGCGCCTCAATGATCTCCTCGGGTGTGCTCTAGTCCGTGTATGGTGGAGGGATGGGGGTAGACATGATGGGAGGTGGAGAAAGAAGTGGGGAAAGAGATGGGTTTGTGTGTGGGGAAAGGAGTCCACCGGTAAGAGGAAGGAGACCGTGGGAGCGAAGTGGCTAGTCGTGAGTTGGCTCGCTCCGTGACCAGCGGGTCGCGCGTGAGAGGGTGGTGTGAAGTCAGTCGAAAGGAGATGATCCGTTCAAGTCCAAGGTGCCCGAAGAGGGGAGTCGAGAAAGGTGGGGCGTTAGGAGGACCCTAAACCCTAGAAAACCCCTAAAAAAAACTAACCGGAGTTTGGGGGTTAGGGTAGAGTAGCGGCGACCAAATCAAGAAAGAGAATAAAAATCATGGAGAGAATGGGGAAATAAAAATAAATAGATACTGAATTTTCGACATAAAAATAAAAAAAAATATTTGTAAAATAAACTAAGCTACCAGTCGGACCGCCTGAGTCCCGAGTGGCCAGCCCGTGCAAGGACATGGGAAGGTCCCAGCAACAAATCCAAAAAATCTGAAAAAAAACTACGTTATGGAGAAAAATAAATTGAACAACTTTTGTATCAGGTTGAGATCGAAATTCTTTACCAAATTTAAAATATAAAATAATATTTTAAAATAAAATTTATTTTCTATTTCTTTATCCTTTTTGGCTCGGCCGGGCAAGTGACCCCTGGCCACTCTGGTAGCCTCGAAAATAAATAAATAAATAAACAAAAATTGAGATGAGAAAAATATATTTATTTTTTAATTTTTTTTTGAATTTTCGTTAACATTTCCCTACTCCCCACGGGGTCAAAAATATGCCAAGAGGAAGGAAAGACCAGGAAAAACACACTAAGTTTTACAATGCAACAAATTAAAATTTTCATAATAAAATAAATAAAGAAATAAGAAATGAGGATGTGGAAGAGAGTGAAGAGAAAATAAAATTTTAAATTTTTTATTTTTATTTTTATTTTTTTAATTTTGACAGCATTTCRTTACCCCCATGGGGTCGAAGTGTGCTGTAAAAAAGAATGACTAAGCAAAATGGAAAAGTTTTGCCAACATTTCGCTACCCCCAAGGGGTCAAATTGTGCTGGAAGAATAAAGTAGGGAGAAAAGAGAAAATTCTGGCTACACTTCGTTACCCCGAAGGGGTTAAAATGTGCGCCGATAGCAAAAATAACTAAGTCCGTACAAGGTATAGAGGTGCCACAACAAAATTCAAATTTTCGGCATAAATAAAAACAGAAAATAAATAAATCAAAAAATGAGAAGAGAAGTAGGGAACAAGGTAGTTTGAATTTTTTGAGAAAAAAAAAAAAATTTAAATCAAAGAGAAAGACAAAAGAAAAAAAACATAAAAATTTAAAATTGGGGGGGGGAATGAAAAAGTGATGAAGAAAGAGAGAAATAGGTGAGAAAAATAAAAAGATTGAAGTGGGAAGGGGGGGAAATGATGGGATGGTAGATAGGGGAGGGAAGGGGGAGAGTTGGGTGAGAGAATGAGAGAGAAATGGATGGGAAAGGTGGAGAACAAAATAAAATATTAGTGGAAGAGAGCAAGTAAGGAGGAGAAGGGAGAAAAAGATGATGGAAGATGAGTGAAGAGGGAAGGGTATGAGAGAACTGTGGGAGGAAGAGGAGAGAAATAGGGAAAAGAAGACAGAAAAGTGAGGTAGGATGACCGAGTAGTAATAGAGTTAGAAAAAATGGCTAGATGATGGAAGGGGGGAGAGAAAAGGGGTTGGGGGAAAGGAGGTCAGTGAGTAGGAAGCTTATACCAAACTGTTGGGTGGCCAAGAGTAGAGAACACTACCAAGATCTACAGGATCTTCACTTTCAGGGTGTCGTTCGCCTGCTACCGCAGCAATAAAAGAAATAATAATGATAATCTGGGGTTGGTTGAGATCTTGATCAACCACCCAGATGCCACTATAGTGCAGCCCCATAGCTAAGGGGGTCTTCAAGATCCTCAACAGGCCGATATGTGGCACTGCAGGCAGCCAGCAAGCGGCAACAGCCACGACGAGGGGGGGGGGGGAATAGTTGTCATTTCACTTGCTGCTCGCCACTCACCGACAGGAGGGCGGGGACGGGCCGGGGCAGGGCGGGGGAAATAGTTGTTGTGGTACTCTTCAACACCAACGTGTCACGATATCAACTTATATTGTGGCTTTGGCCATTATATTACATCACTAGTCACGTTCGCGCATAAGCAGCAACGACCTAAGTTCAGACCCTATCAGCATCATCCATCCTGGATCTTCACATTTGTAATGTGGGCGCGGGGCGCGGGGCGCGGGGCGCGCGCTCGTGCGGTGGCCTTGGCGCTTGTCCACGCACGCAGATATGTGTCACTTATTTCCTGTTCGTGTCAGATTCTCGAACTGCGACACCTCTGCAACTGTTGTTTCTTCCGTTTTTACCCGTTGCACGGGATTGTAACGCACACAGACGCGCGTCATTTTTTATTTTTTTTTGCATGACATGTGTCGGATTCTCCCACTGCGACACCTCTGCAGTTGCTGTTTCTCCCATTTTTTCTCGTTGTTCGTGATTGCAACGCTTGTGCTACCTTGTGGGGAGGGATGGGTGTGAACATAAATCGTTCCCGCTCTTATACCAGTGCGACGAACCCGTCGGGATGGCGGTCTGTTAGGATCAAGATGAAGGGATGAGGATGAGAGAGATGGAGATGGAGTTGGATGAGACAACACAAATCTGACGCAGACTCAACACGCACGTACTCCAAATTGTGCAAATGAAGAAGGAGACTGAAAACAGACTGCAGTTCGTTTATACCCCCAACAGACCGACTGGACTAGAATGGAATGGTCTGGTACCGACAACAGTACCGGGAAGTACTGGACTGGACTGAATGAGCACATGGCCTATGGGGTCAGGCCACGACGTGGTCCCACAGGGCAAACAAGCAAAATAGCCAGATAGCCCTAGCTTAGGCCAGGGCAGCTAGAGGCATGCTGCACATAGCTAAGCGGCACAATCGGTCATAAAACAACCGCTGACCAAAGGAGATAGCACTGATACAAAGCACCACATTGTTCCTACTGAAGAGTCATCGCAAACATAATCGCATCACCATACTCACAACTAGTTCCCATAATTAACCACAAAGTAATCAGAGCGCGGACAAAGCATGAACGACAAGCAACATCATTTGCACTCTTCATAGCAAGTGTCACCTCATAATTTGAACCCTTCTTTCGTGGGTTGTTCAACAAAATGCGTAGACCAAGGCCTCATATCAATGGTGTGGCATCATCCAAAACAGACAAATTCATTGTTAAACAACAGTTGTCCTCTTCACATCGTCACGGTCGCATTCTAACTCTTCTCCCACAAGGCCGCCAATAACTTTAAGGCGAACACGAAGGTCCTGGACATCAGATGAGAATGACACAATGCACGCGAAAACCATTGGCCTGAACAGTTGCATATCTATAGACCAGAAGGCAATGGAAGCCTGTGACCTGGCTACTGATAGGCCTGCGATGCAAATGCTAAGCAATATTGCTGGAGAACTCTTCGTGATAGGATTTATTGTTAATTTGCCTATTAGAGTTGGGATGATGGCAGTCGAGCTATTGGGGTTCGTAATACCAGACTTGGACAATGACTGTATTCTGGGCACTCCGTTCTTACACAAGATGGAGGTTGT